GCATCCATATCTAACATGAGCTGATCAACAAACTTCTGTGATAGTGTAAAACTATTTAACAAACAAAAATATAGTCTGTGTTATATTTTTCTATATATTTAGTTTGTTACTTATCTGAATAAAATGAACAAAGTTGGGGAGGCAGGAGGTCGGAGTCATTAGTGGTCTGAAGTATGCACGTAAGGGTTAAAAATTAGTGGAACAGCAGGAAACTGAGTTGATTTCATTACACAGTAGATGTCTGATGTAACTGGTCAGGCGGCAACCTTCCAAGCAAGCTTATTCTTCAGAAGGCCTGAAACAGTCTTATGCCTGTTCAAGAAATATGATGTTGTTAAGGGCCTTCTATTGTCCGTATCCTACACTGTGACTGAATCAATGACTTTGCATTTTCTGATAGCATAGTTGCAGAAGCAGCAAAGCTGTAGACAGCAGATGATTTACTTTGTCACGCAGTGAGCTGGATGAGTTCTGAGGTTTGCACTGCCATGAAGAGAAACCTGATATCCAGGATACCATGAGCCACTGTGGGTGTGTCATTAAATACTGTACCTCACGTCTCTTTACCAAGCTGCCAGCATGCACACTTCCCACTCCTTCTACTCGTCAGAGGGCTGACCTCAGAGAGGGAGATCAGGGAAACACTTAATCAGTCTTCTAAAGATAGCATGGTATGGACCCTTTTTAATCAGAGTTCCTGTTACTTGTCATTCTAAAATTACTGGATCTGTATATTTCACAGAAGATGGTTCTGTGGCCTATTTATAATATGCAGTAAAATCACAAGAGGTGCTGTGGGGAAGTGTCTAAGTGACCAATCATGTTGTCTACACTGAGAAAAGTAATTGAATTCACTTGATTCAAATTCCACAGGAATACGTTATATTACATTAAGGCTACACTATGTAAGCTTAAGGGATTTGGGGACCTCTCTGGCGAAAATACAGTACAGAATATTTTGTGATGGTAGTTGTGCAGATACTTCCTTAAATGAATAAATGTGACATTAGTGAATACATAGAAAGAGTATTCAAATAGAACACACAACTCGAAACATAGTCAGGGACATGCCTTCAGAAGACGTAATTACTGTTATCTTCATCAGTATGTTGATTTTGCATTTGAGATCTAAACATTGAGCCAGACCTTCTTTTTGAGCCTGTGCTTGTGATGTTAAGACATAAATATGCATGATGTGATCCAAAAAACTCCCCCAAAATATGACTTTTAATTATGACACTTTTAAAATATTATTTCAGGATTTACAGGGAGACTTGCAGCAGTGCACAAACAGTTTTTAGCATGTTTTTTTCTCCTGAATTAGTAATGGCACTTCTTTCAGTTTTAACAAAAAAACTAACATAGTGCAGCTTTCACTGTACCTTTGATAGGTGGAAACAATACAAGCTACATGTGTTCTTCTAATAAAGACTAGTTTGCATAATTCAGCAACACACAGACTTTATAGAAGTGTGTGTGCAGTAGTTTTGCTCTATGAAAGTGGAGTAAAGTTTCTGAGGGGCAAATTTAAGAAAATCCTAAATCGTTGCTGGATTTATATAAGGCATTATAGCCCCGAATTAAACAACTTTTGGGCATTTTGTAGATAGCAAAACACTCTGTTTACAAACGTTTGAATTCATTCTACAGTGTTGGTCCTACCATAAACACTGAAACAGGAAATACATTTTAAAAGGAGATGGTTTGGGCAGTTGAGAAATGTTGTTTGATTAGTACACATACACTAATAATGGAAACAGTTCACAAATTGCATCACTGATTACAACTTCTATGATGTTAGGACTTCACAAATCATTTGATTAGAGAAACAACTACATATACTTGCACCCAAAAAGTTTCTGCATGCGTATGTCTGTGATCTTTGTATTTGTGCAAGATTTATTTCTTCTATAGAGGACCAGTATTTCTTCAATATTGTCACACTGTACAGCCCTGAGAACTACATGCTTAATTTCCATGTTGATCATAACATTTGAGGATTTTTTTCTAGTTTTCACTATTTTACCAATCTTCTGCACTCAGAAATGTAGTTATTGAGCACTTAACATGGAAATCAGCAGCAGCATTCAAAATCACATAACATGCAAAATACTAGGTCAAAATAGTATACCTTCATTAGTGGTGCAGTCATTTTTGTAAATGCCTATAGTATGAATCCATGCTTCAAAAGAAATACTGACATACCCTGAGTGAAATTAGGACCTACACCAACTTACTGACACCTAGAGGAGTGCTCAAGCCCTGCAACAGCAGAGGTAAAGAGAGAAGGAAAAGAGAGGATGCAAGTGAATGATGAAAGTCCATCACCCATTATGAACTCTGAAGATCCAAAAGTGCAAACTTATCGTTACACATTAGAAACGCTTCGTGTTTTTCACTATAAAAAGGATCTTTCTAAAACTCATCCCGAACAGCAGTCTTTAACATTTCCTTCCTGAATGTAAATTCATGGGTCCATGGGTGTTTTGATGGTGAGTTGGAGGGATAGTATTACAGACCGTAATCCCTCCCTGTACACCCCCTGGGTCAGCGCCTGAAACCCCCTCCTCCTCACAAAGCACTACACTGCCAACAGCTGAACCAGCAGGGGCAAACTGGCTGCTCCCTATGCAAAATGAGCACTTTATGCACGCACAGACGCACACACAGATACACACAAACACATACTGTATGCTTGAACTGTATTCTGGGTCACGTACTGCAGGTACATGAAGTAAAACATGCATCACTGAGATGAAAACTGAAACTCAACCTCAGCTCACTGGTGCAAAACCCATTCCTCAGCAGTACATGACACTCATATTGTTTGTGATGGGGGATTAGAGCCTGAATCAAGGGTAGACTGGTGGTCCTAGACCCCCCACAAGTGCACAGGGACCCCCCCCCCAATAAGAGAGCCAAAACTGAACTTGGGCGTATTGGGTTATGTCCTTGAATAAAACTGGACATGTTTGGACAAAATGAATGCCCTCACAAAGTGTGATGGCCTTCTTTTCCAAGGTTTCATGGATTATAATCAGCAAATCAGTGTCAGTGGGCATCGGTATCAGGCCAATAACAGCAGAAAATGCTGGAGCGGATATCGGAGGGAAAACAACAAATTAATCAGATCCTGTCCTGCAACAAATCTAGCCTGAAATAGCACACACTCACATTGTATGCTGTGGTATTGTTAGATGTGTGGAGACTGAGTAGATTGAGAATGATAGCCTCAATCGAAATTGAACTGAAAATAGTTTTAACAACTTTTTTCAAAAATTCTGCATAAATCAGTGGTTGAGATGTAAACAAAGTCATTCAGATAAATGTGATATTAAACAAGTCATTGTAGAGAAACTGACTGGACTTTACAGTGGTGGTGATCAAAACCAGGGGTCACAACGTGTAAAGCACAATTTTTTAACTCTCTAAGACAACAAGTAAACCTACAGCTGTCTTCAAATTTAATATTTTCGTAAGTACTGTTGGTGATGGTAAATTAGTGCCAAATCTAAAAAAAAAAAAAAGAGGTTTTCTTTGAGGACTATTTTGCGTTATAACACACCGCATGTTCCTCTCTTGGTTGTAGAACTGTAACATTAATAAGATGACACAATGTTTTGAAACACTGACACTAAAAAAACCTGATGCTCTATATATTCTGAAAACTGTGTCGACAATTTAGTATTCATCATGTATTTTATGTATATATATATATATATATATATATATATATATATATATATATATATATATATATTACACTTGTTTGGTAATATGTTGTTATAGGTCAGATTCTCCACCAGAGGGCACCACAAAACCTCTGTGTGCTCTTGACTATGTGATAATTTTAGTCTAAAGCGTAAATAGTGGGTTTGTGCGGTCTAGAGAACACAGAGGAGCTTAACAGATATATTCTCAATATGCAGGACACAATTTAAAAAAACTTATTAAAGTTATATTTTTTTTTTCATGAACTAACTTCTCACTTCAACTGTTTGGAAACAGGCAAAGTCAGTATATTAGCACTTCACACATTTTACACATTCTGTCCTACCTTTACACTTCAGGAAACCATTGCTCCGTTGCTCCTCTTTGAGGCAGATTCTCCTTCAGACCTATGACGCAGGTTCCATTACAAAATGCAGGTTTTAAAATAAGTAATCAGTTGTGTACTCTTGTCTTGCCTATTTTGTGACAGGAAAGACATTATTTTTTGGATGACTCCATAACTGATGTGCCATTTAGCCCTTGTAACTTTGGATCATTTTTCAACGTTAAACCTAAGAAAACTTGACTATTCAAAAATGTGTTGACCCATCTTAGGATCAATATCTATTTTTTTACAAGCTTTCTTTGCTGGCAGTGGATTAAATGTGTAACAGTGTTGAAAGTAGTTTTTTAGCGCAGAATTAGAAAATATATTGAATGTGGTTTACTAGCATCCATTCCCCACAGTTGTGGGGAAAATCAAATTCCTAATGAATTCCAGATTCCAGATATATAGCGGTGAATGTGTTCAGCTGACAGGGTTGAGTGAAGGTCACTACAACTAAGATGTACATTTTTCATAAACTATAAATGGATGACTCGTGAAAATAGGTATCTCAAGCATGAGATGTTAAATAGATTAATACAGTAACCAATGTTATTATTTTTGAATACTTTAAAGATAATATTTCAAGGTAAAATCTGCTGTGATATCGCACATACGTTGTGGAGAAAGACACTTTGTCTATGTTTAAAATGTCTTTTATGTTTACATGCATATTTATAGCTAAATGTAACACTAATGGTGCACAAATGGCACCACAATCGCGGAATCACCTTTTTCATCATGATCTCAGAGCGACACAATCAAGCAGCAGTAAAATTGTAAAACGCATCAGTAATCGACCTCTGACCGGTAGGCTAGCTGTGCTAACATGCACGACGACACCTCAGCTCACTCTCTCATTCTCTAACACACACACACACACACACACACACGCACTAGTGTACCGAGGCACCGGCTGGAGGGACAGAAGCGAGACAGACGAACACAAACAGTGGAAAACGATAAACTCCTCTTAACATGGAGCGAAAAGTAGCTCGAGAATTTCGTCATAAGGTAAGCAGATAATGTGTTTGAACTGACCTTCCCTCAAAGATGCCTCTGTAAAGTACATACAAAGTAGCGCTAAGCAAGTGCAGGAAGATGATGACCAGTGGCCCTTTAAGAATGGCGGAGGTGCAGTGTAGCCTAACAAATGTTAGAAAGGTGTTACTAGTACAACAGTTTGCTTGTGGCTAATACTGAACACAGTAAACAGACCTTTAGATATCTTCTTGCTTTGGTATGTGTTAAACTACCTGTACACCTGTTTCCTGACCAGCCTAGCTAAACAGGACTACTTTGTTAAGGCTTTTATGCACAGAACAAGTTTTACCTTTTTGAAAATGTAAAGTACCACAGGGCATAGCCAACATAAAACGAGTTTTTTATATTACACAATTTTGCTGATAACTGGCTAGGGTGAAGAAAACACAATGGAAGCTATTCCTCAAAATATATAGTCCAGCAAGCCCTTTAATATTTACAGTGACAACTGCAGATCACAACAGTGACACTGCAAATAATGTCTATTTGTCTTGCTTAATTGCAAATAATTATGAATATCCTATTAGACTTAGCCTAACAGCAGTATAGGTTCCGTCCTCAGTTTGAAACAGATACAGAAGCTTCCCCATGTGAACTGTATGTAATAAGCCACCATGCACCATCTGCTGTGTGAGAGAGGGTGATGGCGGACACAAAGGGCCGTTCTTCACTGTTTTAGATAGATGAAGTGACAGAGGAGTGCAGCCAGGCGAAGAGGATTGCTTCATTTAGTGTTTGGCCACGCTGCTGTGTGTGTAGGCCCAAGATGCAATAAAAACCTTTTGTTATAATTTGATGCCTGCATGAAGATCCTCTTACAAATGAACTTTTGTGAATTCTTTATAGTTTTTCATTAGTTACACACTAACAGTATTTTCTTTTTCCCCTTTTTCGTATCTTATACTAATCAAACCTTATTCTCTGCTCATATTTCTCATATTTGCTATAGAGGAGGATGGGTTCCCCTTTTGAATCTTGGTTCCTCTCAAGGGTTTTTCTTTTTGCTCTTAGGGAGTTTTTCCTTGCCCCTGACGCCATTAGCTTTCTCATGGGAGCTTGGACACGGATTTTTCTGTAAAGCTGCTTTGTGACAACACCTGTTGTAAAAAGCACTATAGAAGTACATTTTGACTTGACTTGACTCGACTTCTCCATGCACACTTCAGAGCACAAAACTGCTCTGTGCTCTGAATATCAGCTTTATCGGTTTATGGTGTTAAAGTCCAGGGTGTGAGGCCTGTGAGGCTTTTATAATACACATTTATTACACCATTTATCCTCTCCACCCACAACAGAGCTCTAGCAACACTATTCTATTCTATTCTATTGTCACATTCTTTTCTGTTCCGCTCTGTTCCATTACATTAAGATATGTACTGTTTTATTCTCTTCTATTCTATCAGGATTATCAATAAATAGACCAGAAAACAAATAGATCGGCAAGTCAAAAAATAAAAAGTAATATAAAAACTATACTGAAGATATTTTGTTAAGAAAAAACATTCTACATTTTACAGATGGGTGACAAATTAAAAGATCTTAAGAATAATAATAAGTGCAGATGCTTCCAGACAAGTGTACCTAACTGTGGTACAATTAAGCTGTTAATATCCTACCACACTCTGTGGCATGTATAAAAAGGCGAAGGCCCAGGTCCAGTTGACCATGATTTTGGATCAAGATGGTAGGAGTGATCAGACTGTGCCAACAAGAACCATCTGTCATCTATATTGTTAGGTATATTATGTTAGATTTGTAGTGCAACCCCAAAGACAAACGCCCATTTGAGAGTTCAGTGGTGTAAAAACTACAAGCGCTGGTCTACAGAGATGTGGAAGAAAGTAATATGGTCAGATGAGTCATCTTTCATCATATTCTCCACAGGTGGCTGAGTACGTGTATGGCGTACATCAAGAGAACAGTACAGGCCTGAATACTTGACTCCTATAGTGAGAGGTTCTGGTGACTGTATTATGCTTTGAGGGCATTTTGCTGGCATGGATTGAATCCACTTCTCCCCTTAGAAGGAAGGGTCACTACAAAGCAATAAGAATTTATTCTGACTGATCACCTTTATATCATGGCAGTGGACTTATCCAAAGATGATGGGACCCCCATCCTCAGGGTATGAGGAGTCACTAAATGATTTGAAATGCATGCAATTGATTTAAATCATATTCTGTGGCCCTCGCAGTCACCAGATCCCAGCCCATTTGAGCACCTATGGTAAATTTTGGACCAACGTGTAAGACAATACTTTCCATCATCATCATTAAAACACTAACTGAGGAAATATCTTTTGGAAGAAAGGTGTTCCATCCATCCAGTACAGTTCCATAGACTTCTAGAATCAATGCCAAGTTGCACTGAAGCTGTTCTCACATCTTACTAAGACACACTGAGTTGTGTTGATTTTTCTTTTAGTCTGTCAACCATCTATTGTACCAAAATCATTTATCCTGTTTTTTGCATTTATACACAATGTTTGTGAGTTTTAAATGTCGATCCTTTTTTCAAAATAATATTTTCATTTGTCCATTTTTATTTTTCCTTTCAAAGCTGTTTTCAATTGCACATTAAAACTTTCCTCGCATGTAAGTATTTGGTATGGCATAGCAGAGACCCTGCACAATGCTGTAAAATGAGCCTATTCAGCATGAGAACATTGAATGCAGTGCAATGAGCAGGTTTAGTGGAGCAGAGCAGCACCCAAGCAGTTCCACTCGACCCGCCCAATCTGCAACAATAGCATCTGTGACTTCAGTCCCTCAGGTCACATAAGCACACCTCCCGCACAATACTGCACATAGCTCTACTCTCTGTCTTTCTCCTTTCACCCCTTCCTCTTTCTTGCTCTGTCTCTCTTTGTGCAAGAGATGTGCTACATCATTGACTGGCCCAAGCGCTTTCTTAAAACTTTTCTACAGCAGGTCAGTCGCCACCAGGTGAGTAGGATGCCTCAGAGGGAGTTTTGCTGTGAGTGTGATTATCACAGTAGCTTATGGAGGTTTTGTATATTCTTGTTCTTTGCAGGTGGAGTTGCTGATTGATAATGAAGCAGAGAAGGATTACCTATATGATGTTCTGCGCATGTATCATCAGTGAGTCTGACCAAGATGCAGTTTTGCCCTGAATATATTATTATACTTTGTCTTTTTCTGTAATTCAGGCTTAAAAATGCTGAAAATGCCAGAAAACCATTTCTTAATCTTGAGTAGGCTGCAAATATTTCATTTTACTGTTATGTTTCTGTGGTCTGTGTATGCTGTTTATACTACACTAGCCTAGCATCTCATGGTATATGTCATTAGAAATGTGCTTTACAGATACAGGGAATATCAAGGCTGTATTAAAAATAATACCCCCATAATTAGATAAATAAAAATGTTTTCTATTGTACATCATCTCATTTTTGCTCTCAGATTCATAAATAGATGATAATACGTTGTTTTACAATAAATAAATCCAGCACACAGCATTTTTCATGACAATTTTAAAATATTTTCATTGATTTTCATTGTAGGTAAACATGCAATGACAATAAAAGGAAATACAATATTTCAAAATATTTTATTAGCTAATAATTCCTCTTAAAAGTTGAGAAAGCACTGAGAAAACACTCCTCATCACATGCTGGGAGAACAGACAAATGTATTCAGTTTCTCTTCATTCGACTTGAATAAGGTCAAGTGAATAGAAGGGAAATATACCTGCAGGCTTTTCCACCTGATCTTTGTGTTGTTGCTCCATTGGACAAGGAGCTCAAGCTTGCCCTATTGGATGGAGATCTGATAGTTTCCACTCTCCTCCACCCAGTCACAGGCAGCCATTCACTAAAGCCCCTTTGCCACTGATATTTGAGTCAGGAGTGAAATACCAGTTATTAATGATTCATAGACCAGGGCAGGACACTAAATTCATAAGCAGTTAATATTAAGGGTCACGTTCTTTTTCAGATCGCTAAGAGTCTAGGCCAGGGGGATATTTAAGCATCCATGATTCATGTATCTTTTACCATGATGGACTTTCTGTCTCTATGTGTAAGTTCCCCTTTTTTGGATAATATCTCCTATATACTATATATTGACAAACTGGAAACCTGATAATGCAAAATACAAAGGTAGGCAGAAGCAGAGAGGCCTTAACGTTAGTGTGAAAGAGTTAAGCAATAGGGCAGGCTATAAAAAGTACAGAAGTGGGTAAAGTAGCCTAAACAATACTCAAGTAAAAGTATTTACTAGTGGGTAGAATAATGACAAAAGTAAAAGTACCTTTCGAAAAAACAACTTGAGTAGAAGGTCAACAAACTACTTAAGTAATGGGTAACTTACAGAACTGCAGTGTAACTGAGTACATCTAGCATCTGTCAGTAAAGGAACTGAACGTTATATGGCTGTGTTCTTCCCTTCTTGGGATTCTTTTGCTCTAAAATAAAATGGTAAAGCTCCAAATTCAGAGGTGCTACCAATCACAAAGCAGTACAGATGCTGTCACAAAATAATAATCAAATGAAACACAAAAAAGGAATTAGTTGCTGAATATGAATGGCTAAGATGTAACTGATTAGAAAGAAGACTTTTTTACTCTCTAATATATTTGAGTAGGAGTAAAAGTATTATGATTTGAAAATACAGGAGAGTACAAATCCATCAATTATTTACTTAAGTACATGTACTTGTGTAAATGTACATAGTTAATACCCACCTCTGGGAACATACTTTAAATTAGTTTTTTAAACACATTTGAAACTAACTCTAATGCATTAGGAATGCCCATTATATTCTATTATTTATGGCCCAGCATTCATTTTACACATCTAAATGTGAGATGTTTAAGTTATGCGGTGTTAATTGTGTTAAAGGTCCTTTGCTCCCCTTCATGTCCAGGCGTTGTCTCAGAAATGTGTTGCTTTTTTCTCTTAGGTCTATGGACCTGCCTGTTCTGGTGGGGGACCTTAAACTGGTGATCAATGAACCGAACCGTCTGCCTCTGTTTGATGCCATTCGGCCTCTCATTCCTCTCAGACACCAGGTGGAATATGACCAGCTTACACCCAAGAGATCCAGGTGAGTGGACAATCTAAATAAAGAAATAAGTATACATAGTTGAGATGGGTTGCAGAGAAAGAGAGCCAGTGATGAAAGGGTGTGATGCATCCCCCTTTTGCTGCTTCAGTGTAATTGCTGTCTCTCATGCTTATTGAAGCGTGACAGAGGAATGCTGTTTATGAGCCCCGGGAGTGCAAACGTGTGTGACACACTGTTCTGATTGGGCAGAACTGGCCAGCAATCAGCTAGGACTCAACAATAGACTGCATTGCTGATTTAGAGAAGCTGCAGTAAAGACCACATGAACATCCATTTCTGTATGGCCAGTGCACTTATTTGGCATTAGTAACAAAAAAGGGTGAGTATAAAAAAGAAAAGAGTCACACCAGGAATTGCACAGGAACAGTTCAGAGCTGTTATGGCAAATGTGTGTTTTTTGTTTACCAAAAAAAGAACTTGGGTCACGTTGGTAAAAATCGAAATCCAATCAGTGATAAAAATTCCTGATCAGTGCATCCCTAGTTTAATGTTTGCAACAAATTTATGATTTTTTTTTAATTGAAATTCAAAGATGACATTTTTAAGAAAATATTTATTATATATTTATATTATTTCCTACTGTATCTGTATCTTTTGTATCTAGACTGATAATGTCTTTCTGAGCTTATTCTAATCATGTTATCATGTTATTGTAATAGCACTGAATTATAGCTGCTAATTATGTCGTGTAGATTATAACAGGACTGTGTGATAAATCATTTGTTAATCCTTAAAGGTTAACTAATATTAACTGTTGCAGTACTGATATTGCAGGAGACTGTAATATGCCAACAGACCCTCTAACAATTTGCAGGATTTTTTTTATTGTGTACTGAAAGCAACCTTGTATTTCTCCTAACGAGTTTCAGCGGGATCAACGCAGTCAAACGCAGGACAGTTTTTAGTCATGTCACATCAGGGGGTTCACCAGTATGTTTTTTTTTGCATGTGGCGAGACACACAGCAGTCATAATATATGACAGTGCAATTACAGTATAGTACAATATGGTATATTGTCCATATCATACAGCCCTAGTTTACAGCATCATATGGTGTGATGTAGTTTGATAAAATGTGATCCCTGTTGTGCACTATACCAAAACCTACTTAACAATCTTTCATGTATAAGCAGGAAGCTCAAGGAGGTGCGTCTAGACCGCACTCACCCTGAGGGCCTGGGCCTGAGTGTACGAGGTGGACTGGAGTTCGGCTGTGGACTCTTCATCTCACAGATCGTAAAGGATGGACAGGCTGGGAACGTGGGTTTGCAGGTGAGATAGTGAGAGACAGACAGAGTGAGAGAGAGACAGTGGTAGCTTTGACAAAGAAGCAAAATTACATTATAAAAATGAATTACCAATTCAAATCTCCAGCAAAACAAAATAATGTTAGAAAATTTTAATCTGACATTGTTTCTTCTACCTGCCATAGTTAGCTATGACAGAGTTCATCCAGTTGCTGTGTACACCAACCTTAATTGATCTGAGGATTTGTGTGTATGTGATATGGTGCAGTAATCGAACGGTTTATGTTTGCCTCAAAAGAGCTGCCACTGTCAAAACTTACAGAGTGCAGCAGGGATCTATGAGCGTTGTGCATTGAGGTTAGTGCATCCTCACACCACTAGATGGAGTAAAGATCCATGCTATGTTTATTTTCACCAGCCCTTTCAATAGCACCATCAAAGACATTCTGCTTTATATTCATAGGTTTGCAAAATTTACCACATTGGTGTGGGGGTCGCATTTCTGCTCAGTGGGCTGTGGTATACAGAAAAGGGAAAAAAAAGAAAAGGGTCTGAAAAAACTAATGGGGAATCCCACAGAAAAAAAACAGCTATTTATATGCAGTCCATGTATCCTGAATGTTTAATGATTAATGAGATGATAACTATGACCTTTTTTAAAAAATGCTAATTAATACAGAGCCTGGAAGCACATACTGTACTCTCTTTTTCAGACCCTTTTTCTAATTTCAGCAAGCTTTTAGTAGAAGCTAACATTCAGTTTTAAAGTAAAAAAGTGATGTGCTCTAATAAATCCAGTGAGTAAGTGGCAGCAATTAATTTACATACAGCCATCTTCTCAGTAATACATGCCAGCCAATTTCACAACCATTTGCTGTTCAGTTTTAGCCAGATGGGGCTGGATTGCTTTGCTGTCCAGTCATCGTTGCAGTTAATTACCTGAACAGAATCTATTTGAATTCAATGAAAGGACCTCCAGGACAGATCTATATCAACCTAAACCCTTGACTAGGATCCATAATCAGCTCCTTAGAGCAGACTGAGAGACTGATATGCTTTAATAAAGAAACAGTAACGGTAAGCTTCTCTATGATTTTAGTCATGTTGTTTAACCTCTTTTGGCAGGTGGGGGATGAGATTGTGCGTATCAACGGCTATTCCATCTCCTCTTGCATTCATGAGGAGGTCATCAATCTTATCAAGACCAAGAAAACCGTATCACTTAAAGTCAGACGTGAGTTACAAATCTGTTCTCTAGTAGTTAATTGAAAAAAAGGTCAATTTGTATTTGTCTGTAAATTTTTATGTTAAGCCTTGTTTATTGATTAGTTGGCATTGAGTGGATGAATGATAATCGATTTGTCATGTCTTTCTTCACAGATGTGGGAATGATCCCAGTAAAGAGGTAAATCTTTACTAAATGTCAACACCTGTTATAGTTTTCCTGTCATAAAACGTCTATATTTTGGATCAAGATATGTTTTCCTCTTTCTGTCACTCTGATGATGTGTCCAGTAGACTGGGCTTCAGGTTAATTTTTGTCTCATCTGTGAAAATGTATCCTGGAGCACTACAGCTTTTTACAGGCCAGGTTGTTTTCTGTTGCCAAGCTCACCAGTGCATCCTTGCTTCTGAACAATGTACAATACAGAAAATGCTAACACACTTAAAGGGGAATTTGTGTATAATTAAATCAACACAAGGTCAATAAACCATTCAGAGTGGTATAATGTGACATACCCCATTGTAAAGAAGAGAAAATAGTGGTAAATCTGAAAAATAAGTTCATCTTTATCATAGATTCACTGGTCCTTTTGGATAGTAAATAAAAATGCTATATTTACATTGTAAAGATATCGGGGTTGATAAGTTTCTCTACAAGGCACCATTTCATATCAAAACACTCTAAATAACTTTATTTACATCTCAATGATTGAATTACACAGACTGCTTTAAATATTGGTGGAATTTGCTTATTAATGAAACAACAGCAACAAATACCAAGCTACAAGTTTCTCTTATGTACGAAGAAATGATGGAATAATATACTGGTCAATAAATATCTGAGCAGCCAATTGTCCAATTATGTTTGGTCCAGTTAAATGGGAGGACTGCGTGTAAAAAGGGCTGTCACTTTACAATGTACATGATTTTAGTTAACACAGAATTAAAGTAGATTTTTACCCCTTAATCTCACAATCACCATTTTATTTTAAAATACACTGTCTAAAAATTGTCACTGTCAAAACTGTCCAATTACATACAGACTGCATTGTAAATATAAAAATATAAGTCCATTTATGTTTAAGAATGACATCAATAATTAACATTCTCTTCACCAGTTCCTCTGATGAACCTCTAAAGTGGCAGTTTGTGGATCAGTTTGTGTCTGAATCAGGGGTAAGACCCGGCAGCTTTTCAGTTCCTTTGCTCCTAACACATAGTAACATCTTACACATTCTGACTGCTGATGTCTTTGTCTCTCAGGAGAAGAAGAACAGTGTTGCTGGCATGGCCTCTCTAGGAGGAAAAGAGATTAAGGAGAAAAAGGTGTTCCTCAGTCTGGTTGGCACCAAAGGCATGGGTATCAGGTAAATGCATGTACTGTATCTTAGGTTTTTTTGTTGCATTGTTTTGCTTCTTATTCAAGTGTGGGGATATCCCTACATATCTTTTCCTTTTTCTCTCCTCTAACACCCTTGTTTCCACATATTCATGATAAGGTGTGTAAAAAAAACACCAGGAAAGCAGTGTAGGGGTTGACAAAGCCTAGGATTATTTTATTTTTATGCATTTATCTTTTAATTTTACCAGGCAAGCCAATAACAACAAATTCTTATTTACAATGGCAGCCTGACAAGAGAACATTATTATAGCCACATGCTATGACACATGCAGTTCTTTCTTATGGCGGTACAGAGTAAAAGAACATTAATATACTGGTTTTGTTGATTTTCTAAGTGAAAATAAGTTAAGTAATGTCTATGAAATATTTCCCAGGACACTGCAGCTTTTACAGGCCATTACTGCACAATTACTGTTTATTTGCTAAAAATAAAATATAATGTGGTCTGAGCAAAAATTATGTCTCATTTTATATCTTATGTTCTTCCAACATGTTAAATTCAGACAATAATAAGAAATTGTGTACTAACATTGCAAAAAAGGCATAGTTAAAGCTACATTCACATTACAAGCCTCATTGCTTAATTCCTATTTTTTGCTCAGATCTGATCTTTCTAACTGGATGGTTCACATTTGCGTAGGTGACTCAAATCTGTCATTGTTGTGAACATGTCCTGAAAATCTCACATGCATACAACCTAAGCAGTAACATTATATGAATTAACCATGTGTGCTTTAAACAAGAAAGTAACCAGCAGGACAAGCATTTGTCATGAAGATAACAGCTCTGAACAGCTCTCTCCTGTTTAGTATCAGAGCGAGTTGAAGATGAAAAACTGTCAGATGCTTTTGCACCGTTTGCTGGGACAAATTTTGGGTTAGGCATTGCTGCCATGTTAAAGCTGAGTGATGGCACATGCACAGTAAAAAGAAACACATAAATTCCAATCTGAGTGTTCTCTTTAAGGTTGCATGGCCATATCGGATATATATCTGATCTAGGGCTACATATGAAAGTGGCTTAGGTCAGATTAGAAAATGTCAGATTTGTGGCCCAAGTTTGTTCCCAAGAAGAAGAGTTTTTTCTCTTAGAAAATCAACAAAAGATGTCATTTGGCTTGTAGCATTCAAACTGTTACGTGGGACTGTAACCAATACGACACGTCAAATCCTATAATTTCTGCGATCTGTGGCCGAAGCTATAAATCTAGATTTAGTTTCAGCAATATATAGAATGGCCAGTATTTTTGTAAAGGCCAAAGGATAATTACTTGATCTCTTCTTGCTTTGTCCTTTAGCATCTCAAGTGGTCCCACCCAGAAGCCAGGCATCTATATCAGCAATGTAAAGCCTGGCTCTCTGTCAGCAGAAGTGGGTTTACAGGTACTGTCCTGTCCAGTCACTCTGAGCACCTAATCGTTTGCCCCTTGCTTAGAAACTCCTTTAGGAAATCATTACTGTGTCATTGTCTATACAAAAGGACACTGATGTGATTATGTGTGTGGGGGATGTAGGTAGGTGACCAGATTGTGGAGGTCAATGGGGTGGATTTCACTAACGTGGACCACAAGGAGGTAAGCCATGTTACCATGGCAACCCTGTACACTGTAGACAATTATCTCGCACATCTTTTAGATTGTCTCATGGTTCCTGTTAAAGTTTTACAAGTGCAGAATCAGCAGACTTATTAGCATGGGGATTTGAACTGGAAGTAATGCGGTGTTTGTGTTTTTCTAGGCAGTTCGAGTGTTGAAGAGCAGCAGGAGTCTAACTATCACTGTTCTCACAGGAGCTGTAAGTACTGTAATTCAGTCATCCTTATTCTCTCTGCCCATGTGGTGCTCCTTAGTGCTCCACTGTGTCTCATTAGCACCTAGCAATGCTGCTCCCTCTCTCGCAGAGTCATCCATTACACAGTTTTCACCGGCTTTACTCAAGAAGAGGAAATTAAAGTCATGCTTCTGGTGCTCTTTTCTTAAGAGTTTCCAGAGCAAATATTGTACCTGAAGGCAATGTGGCTGTGGAAATCTGATCAGATTATTCTCATTTTCTGCCCAAGATGAAAACAATGCATTCAGAAATGTAATAGTGTTATATAAGCTCTGTGTTACACTAAGGTTTATTGGCGAACTATTGGCAAAAGCAAATTTGTTTAAGATGGTAGGTGTTGAAAGCTTTCTTATTGAAGGTTAGGTTTATGTTTTTCAGTGTGTAAGTGTGTGGATTTAAGTAGGTAAACAGATTGTGGATTAATTTGTCCTCAATTTGCCTGGGTGTTTTTCAGGGTAGTGAGTTGTTTATGACAGATGAAGAGAAGTTGGCAGTGGAAGCTCGGCGGGAGCTGGAGCGTCAGGAGCTCATGCACCAGAAGAAAGTGGCCCTGGAGACCAACAAGATCGTCAAAGAGCAGCAAGAGAAAGAGCGCATGTCAGTCAAGAGCCTAATTTTCTCCTGCTGCACACATAAACCAAGCCCACACCATCACCCTACTGCAGTCCTACTCTGTTTCTGTAGTTTTGGCTGCTACAACAAGAAAAAGACATTTACAGAATTACATATACTGAAAAGTATGTGTAACATCATCCTGCAGCAGAACGTGTGACTCAACAAAAAAACTAATTAATCACAAATTTATTCATTCACAAGAACTGTATAGTACTGTGCAAAACTCCTAGAAAGAAATGTTGTTTAAAACTTATAAAAACACTTGATTTAAAATAATAAGATAAAATAAAAAATATTGATCAGCAGACATTGGATAGTAAATGTAAATACGGGCTTCCTCGAGGAGAACTTTGGAAATGGTTAAGCTAACACTCTCACAAACATCAGATCACAATGTATTGTTTATTTGGTTATTTGTGTTTCTTCTAATGTTAGTGTTTTTTTTAGCAATGGATGCTTACTGCTTAGATAAATAGCTTTACGTATCATTTTTATGATGCCTAAGACTTTTGCACAGTACTGTATATAATATCTATTACTGTATTTACTGTAACTACTTGCAGTACTATGCAAATTGTCAGGGACCACCCTTTATTTATGTCAAAATTGCCATTAAGTTACTCATTTTCCAGACATATTTCTGTGGAGATTAGATATAAGAGATGGTATGACCTATTTGCATAAAGAATGGGAAAAGTAAGTGAAAATGAGTGGAAAAAACAGGAGTCTGCAATACTGGAGTTCAAAGAATTATTAAAAGATAAAAAAAATGTAACTCTTAACAACCATACAAGACCTGGTAGACCACTAAAACCATCAGATAAATGGTACATGAAGGTTTCATCTTTGAACTGTAGCAAAGATAAGGTGTGGACATACTGAAAACTGCTAAGTTTGATATTATATGTAGTTGTTGAGGCTTGTGTGTAATTTTCTGTCAAATACATGTTTTCTGCTTTTTTTTGCTGATGCTGAAAAATGAGTAAATTACTTAGTGGCCTTTTTCACTGGAAAGGAGTAAGAGTAATCAACAGAGCCAGTGTTGTGCACGTATCAACATTTGTTCTGAGTGAATATTCAGGAATTCAGAAATTGAATTTCATTTGCGCGTCTCATATTTTGATAGATTGAGTTAGTTGGTGTTTCAATTTGCAGTCATTTTACTCTGGTAATGGTGATTTCTCTTGTTTTTTGATGTCTATTGTTTTTGTAGGAGAAAGATGGAGAATTCCCAGAAGGTTGCAGAGGAAGAGGAGCGATACAGAAAAGAGATGGAAATGTATGTTTCCTGTTTTTATTGATTAAGTAGAAGTGCATAATATTATGCTCATGTGCTCATTTGTTTGTTGTTCTGTATGTGTGTGCGTATTAGGATCGAAGCTACAGAGAGGAAGCACAACAGAGAGTGGGAGGAAGACTGGGGATCCCGAGAGAAGTCCAAAAGCCCGTCTCCTGCTCCTTCTCCTTCACCCCCGTCCCACTCCCCACCTCCTCCCAAACCCAGGAGCTCTGGTATGACCGCAGCAGAGATAGAACACACCCCTCATAAGCCTTCCTTTATGTGCATGAGTCTGGAGACTTCTCACTGAAACTTTCCTGTTCTTTAGTTACAATAATATGCTCACAACAGCAGATACGCTACTTCCACTCAAAAATCTGTTCTTAGACTTTGAAACATATATTCTCCATATTTTTTTCATTTTATTACTGCTCTCTGGCATGTACAGATGTGCATTCAGTCTGTGTGAATGCAATCCCTTTTCTCTTTCTTCTTTCATCTTCCTCTCTCTGGCTTGTGTGTACTATGGCTTGCCCTCCTGACCCATACAGCTGCTGAGGCTGATACTTTTGAGGAAGAAGAGGAAGAAGGCAGAGAAGTGAGTGGTGCAGCTCACTTGTTCTAAGAAGGAAGCGTGATTCCTTTGACAACCCATTCAGTCGCTTTTTGTCCAATTCAATTTAACAGCACACCATTGTAATTTTTTTTTGTTTGATTGGGTCATTTCTTGGCAGCTGTTGCATTTTTAGTCCACTCAGCTTATTCACTCATTCTTCAATGGTCCTATTTAACAGATTCCTCTTTTGCTCCCATAGCTCTCAACTGGTTTTACCGCTATGAAGGAAAGTTGCCTACACTCAGAAAGGTATTCTGTGTGCAGTGATTGTGGTGTAGTCCTAATATTCCTTCTGTGATACTTGTAAACTCAGTCTCTTTCTGTGATGAGTTTACTAGTTACAACCTACTAAATATCTGCTAAAATAGTCTTTGAGTGGTGTTAGTTGGTGTTACTTAAGGTGCACTTAAGTATGCAATCAAAATTGCACCGTTAATATTCAGAAAGGAAAAGAGACAAAAAAGAAAAAGAAGAAGATGTCCAAGACAGACACGCTCCCAGCAGAGCGAAAGAACAAGAAAGAGATGGAGTTTGAGCTGAAGTTGGCCAAGGAGAAGGAGGAGATACTTGAGCGAGAGAAACAGATGAAAATCAGTCGGCTCCTGCAAGAGGTACAATGTTCAGAAGTGTGCTTTTGCAGCGTGATTATGTGTGCATTGGCCATGCTATGGAAGTGCACCTTAGTATTGGTTAAAAGCAGCACTGTCTTTTGTCCTGAATGTCATTGTATGAAGAGAAGCCTTCAGCTAAAAGTCTGCAGGTTTGTTTGAGGGAGTAGCAGTGTTTCTCAGAATGGCGGGTCTGATGTGGGCAGGTATCTGAGACAGAGCGAGAGGATCTGGAGGAATCGGAGAAGGTGCAGTACTGGGTGGAGAAGCTCTGCCAGACTCGACTGGAGCAGATCTCTTCAGTGGAGAACGATTCTACTGAGGTATAAGCTCATGGGTTCCTCCTAAAGCTCAGGCTGAATACAGAGTGAGATCCAGTTCACTGAGTATTTTCATTTGTATGCAAATGTTGTGTGAAACACACATTTGGAGTTGTTTGTGTGTCACTGATGTAAGTGTGGATTATGTTGACTGCTTACGGAGACTGAGTATGTTAAAGCAATGGTTCTGTGAAAAATAAAATTTACACAATTTTCCCCTTTCCCGAAATGTAGTTGATCAGTCAAGACATGTTTAGTTTTGTTGCTGGAGCCACGAGGCTGCTCTAAGTAGCAAATTATGGAAGCTTGTAGCGAGCAATTAACATTGTGCAGATCGCATACCTCAATCATGATGTCTGCCAAAAAAGCCAGATCTCAATGGACTTACTCACATGATTTCAGTCAGTGTATCACCGTTATCTAAACACAGACAGTTCCATGACTTAAAACAGTTGTAGTAGCCATCTAGAAGCCAGTACTCTTATCTTTTTTATTTCTTATCTTTTACCTTTTAACATCAGATTCCTAACATGTCTTATTAATTAGATTTTTTGCTTAACAGTCTTGTTAAGTTAGGGCTCTCTGTGAGTGTGGCATCGTGAGGCCATAGGCAGGATTAGTGTTCTAAGCAGATAAGGTGTTTCTGCAGATGTCTCCGTCTCGCTCTCCCATGTCCACTGGGCCAACTGTGAGAAGATTTCCTGGAGGTCTGCAGTTGGCCACAACTGACCTGGATGACATCAATCTGGATGAGGTGGATGAGAGTCTGAGAAAGCCCCTGAAAAGACTAGCTCCAACTCCGCCCACTTCCAATCACCCGCCACCACCTTTACCTCTTCCCCCACCCTCACCTCGCCTCCACCAACCCTCCACTCACCCCTCTCCATCCCCGAGACCCTCCCTGACTCCGTCACGCCATGCTCCCCCCTCCCCAAGACCGGCTCCTCAGCGTCCACCTTCTCCCCCCGCTTCCAGGGTGCTCCCTTCTTCAGTCAGCCGTGGAAAGCCCCCCATGCCTTCTTCTCGAATTCACTCTCAAGCCTCCTGGGCTCCATCTTCCTCTCACCCTCCTCCTCCTCCACCTCCACCTCCTCCTCCTCCCCCACCACCTCCTCCACCTCCTCCTCCTCCTCAGCACGAAGAAGACAAGTACCACACCATGCCACCCAGCTACCGCCGTCCCTCTGAACATGGAAGCGAATGGGAAAGCAATGGCTACAGGCAACGAGGAGGCTTTCATATGAATGGCCATAGTGAGCCCACCTATCCTGGCAGTGCAAAGGTAGTCCTACAGCAGTCTGATAATAGAGATGGCACAAAACCACTTTTTCTTTTCCAGTATCCTTTCTGATACTGAAACAAGTCTGATATTTCTGTCTTTTAAACTACCAAATTTTAAAACAGTTTGAATTACATCACTTAAGATGACAAATTCATACTAAAGTATGAATGCTCTACTACTCTTCAGGAAGAATAGCAAACAGTGAGATACAAAGCTCCAGTGTTGATTTAAAAACAGGGCTGTCAAAGTGAATATGTTTGACGAGTAAAACAAGGAAAATGCATCAACGATACAAAAAATAGTGATGTTAGTAATTCCTTTAAGGCAGGTGTGCACCTCTGAATATAACTATTCAGTTATTTGAATTTCAATTTAATCAGTTCAGATAACTATTCAGTTATTTGAATTTTATATATATATGTATATATATATATATATATATATATGTGTATATATGTATACACACACTACTTGTATAATATTTAGCAACACTTATGTAATACAATACAATACTTAAATGTTATAATCCTATACATGCCAAATATAGATGCCAAATATAATATAAAGTGCATCTCAAATTTTATACAGTCAATATCTAAAATCTAGTTCAGTATTTTCTGGTGGTATCAGCCTGATACTGGTTTTATGTATTGAAACCAGGCAACAAATCAGTGTTTGATTGATTATCAAGCAGAGAGAATTCAAAAGACCAAAGGAGCTACTCTTTGTCTTTAAAGGACTGTAATCATGGACCTGAAAAATGTAAGATGGGAAGCCAGTACTTTTCATAACAATGACGTTGATTGTGTAAGAGTGCTAAGAGGAGGAAGATTGAGCTATTATGTGTTGAGGCTATTCTTCATGCACTTGCATTCTAATTTGTATCTGAGGTGCTGCGATTGCGATTTTTTACTTTTTATGTTATCACTGTGGTCTAGGTTATGAGAAACACTTCTCATGCTAGCAGAATATCAACCTCCAGCAATCCACTGGTGAGCATTTTCCCTTCTGCTTTGATCTAAGGACATTTGCTGTCTGGGTGTCTTGGAGGCACTTGTAGTTAATTCAAACTGGATCCTCTGTTCATACAGGCTGCTCTGTACTGTGCTTGACTTTTCCTCTCTATATCTCTTCTCACATTCTCATCTTTACCCTTGACCTTAGGGTTGTTGTGTGTGTTTAGTTTGAATTACACAGGTTAAGAATTGCTTGCTGAAGGTGATAGTCTAAATACCATCCCCACTAATCCCTAATGCCCAATTCTAATCACACTGTAGCAAATAGCTCCCAGCCCTCCTAACCAGAGGAGACAGGTCAACCCTGTTATGTCAAAACCAGTCATGCTGCCCCAGTCTCAGGCTTCACACAGACCGGTATTACGACCAGAACCCACGGTGAGTGTGAGCACTTGTGTGTGCATGTTGATCGTTGTGGAAATGTACAGGCTTGTTACACTGGTTATTACTGTGTAAAATGCTTACTAACTTGAGAGTGGAGAATGTGGGAAATCACTGTGACTAACCTGCCTTTGACTGCAGGCAAGCATTTTAGAGAGAAAGAGAGAGGGAGAGAGAGAGAGAAAGGGAGTGCAAGGGAAGAAAGAGAGAAATAGAGAGTGGGGGGAGAGAGAGGAAAAGAGAGGAAAAAAGGGGGAGTGGGGAGAGGGAAGCAAGAGTTGGAGATAGAAATAGAGAGAGAGAGAATTGGAGAAAGAAAGCAGCATACAGAGAGAAAAGGAGGGGGATTGGGTTAGAAAGAGGGAGATAGAGAGATAGCATGTGTGTGTAGTGGTGGTGGTGGAGAGAGGTATGGTTGGAGAGAAAGTAAGAGACTGGTTCCGACCGTCCCCATGAATCATTGCTTGAAATCTAAAGTCTGAGTGATAGACTCTCTAAAATTTGACCCAGCCACCCTTTTAGCCATCGTGTCCCATTTTATTAAATCACTGAAAACACCAATTACTTTGCCTTGTCACTGTTTCTCTTGAGTGGGAGCTGCTTCATCAGTGTGTCTACAACAAGGCTCTGCCATGGTGATCTAGCATCTTACTCCATTGGAATAGAGTCTTACAAAACTGAAGGTGCTAAAAGATTCTTTGGAGCAATGCCATAGAAGAACCACTTTTGTACCATTGAAACCACTATAAAAGGTTCTGGAGGAGCAAGAAGTTGTTCTTCAAATCTTGTTCATTACCTTTATTTTTAGGAATGTATCACATGTACTGTAAATGTGGAGTAAAAACATCTCTGACCTGGCCATAACAGGCCAGTATAGTCTATTGCCCCGAGATAAAGAGGAAGGAAGCAGGTGTATTTTCTTAGTCATCCAATTCCCGTATCAGTTTTATTTAAAGAGCAGTCAGGCAGCCTGTGTGTTTGTGCAGCTCAAAAGCAGATTAATTGAGACTGTATCCCGCTGGGATGCTGATGTAGAGGGAGTGAGGGAGTCCTGTGTTTGTGTATGTGTATGTGTTAGAGAGAAAGATTTGTATTTCCTGTTAATAACTGTCAACTCGTTCTATATGGTAGTCTCCACAGATGCTTAAACGGATGGTGGTGTACAACACATCCTTTAAGACCAACAAGAAACAAGTAATCAGAGTTATTCATTGCTCTCTGAGTTCTTCTGAGTGTTTTCTGTGTGTTGTTCTAGCTTTGGTGTCTGGGGGTTTACCTATGAAATTGCATGCGTTGTGGAGTGATTGCTCAACTGTTTCCATCTTCCATAGGAAGATGTCTCTTCAAGACACCATTTTGCACTGACGTCAGACCAGCAGGTTATTAATGGAAATGTCATGGTAAAGGTATACATATACACAGTACTGTGCAAAAGTGAGAGACTATCCTATATTTATTTAATTTCCAGTCAAAACAGTGATTAGGTACAAGTTTATAATTTTTAAGTATCAAGAAAAAAGCTGAAAACACACATTTAGACTTAAAAGTCCATAAAACCTTACACCACGTCTCAGATGTTATCTCATTTTTGGTCTTCTATTAAAAACTTTCTTCTTTTTTGTCTACTTTCTTTTCTAAGTAACAGCTTCTTGACAGCAACACATCCTTTCAGACCCATAGCATTGAGTTGTGTTTTCTTGCAGTTAAAAGATGATGAAAAGCTGTGGATTTTTTCATATATGACACAAGAATCAAACTTGTTTTTTTACTGTCTATTAAAGATCAATTTCTCCCTTAAAATAAATGACATGCACTTAATGGGCATTAAGGGTGGTCTCTGACTTTTGCACAGTACTGTACGTTGTGAAATCTTTTTTAAAATTATTAATAAGGGCCAGCTTCTAATAATGCTTTGTAGCATGTCCTCTCCTTTCTTTCTTGGTTTGTTTCATTTCTTACTTGACCCTAGATAAACCTTCACTCTATTTGTAATGTTAATAGTTTGTCATCCATAGTGACGGCTGGGCGTAGGGGAATTTGCATAATGTGACCTCTGGATTGACTCAGCACAGAGCTTTAATGCAGCTGATTAAATTACAGTGTTGGAGGCATATCCTCGATCAAGCTCTTAGCACACCATCATTACTTAATAATAACTCTTTAAAGCCCTGCTCATAGCGCTTGCCAGTGTTCATTATAAATGTATTATAAAGTATTGGCAAATAGTGACGCTGATAGATATGGAGCTATTGAGTAAGGTTGTTTATAAACAGTATCGTTAAAAAACCCTTAACAGGAAATTGAATAGGACACACACAAATACATTCATCTTATGGGAAAGATTTTCTGTGTAATCTGATGTTATTTTATTGTTGGTAGGTTATTAAGAAAATTGAATGAAGCTTCTGCATAAAATCCAAACTTACATCGTCAAACCAGCTTGTTTTATGTCCTTAATTTGTTCAGAAAGCACAAATGAAATCCTATCTGATATGCTATTTCCTCAGAACTGAGCTTTAAATAGGTGTCCAATAAACAAGGTCATTTTTGCTACTTCTATTAAATCTGGACATTAAATCAATAGTAACATAATAGTGGTCCGTCTCTCATTGCACATGTGTATGATAGAGAGGGACAGAGAGAGATAGCAGCGACTATCCTTTACTCATGCAGAAAAAATAGCTCAGTCAGGCATTCCAACCGTGTTTTTTAAGGTTTGTGTGAGTGTCTGTTTGTGTAATAGATGAGCAGTATAATCCTTCACTATGGCAACATCCAAATGTTGTGGATTGCAGTATGACATTCTTTGTTTGATGCCATTTTGATGCCTGTGAGCATTTGTCACTACCTATTCACGCCGCACATCAAGTGAGACAGTCGGCTTTTGTTTCCCTGTTTGGCTTCATCC